GCGCGCGATTTCAAAGTGGTCTCGCCGGGAGGGCTTCTGGCCCTCGATACGTGGAGCGAGCCATGGTGTCAGCTCTCCTGCGCCCTTGTACTACCGGGGCCTCCTGGCAGGGCCGTCGGCTCGCTCCGAAAACTCTGTAAAAGATAACAGCAGTAAGAGGGCTCCGTGATAGAAGAAAAAGAAAGAGTACTTACGTGACCTGTGCTCCCGTCTTGCGCTGAGTGTATGTCTCGGTAGCCTCGCGTCCTAGGAGTCCTCGTTGCTTGGAGCCGGTGAGACGACGCTTTCATACAATCTCTTCCGACGAGTCGCCACCCTCGCTTATTTCGGTCGGTGCATGCCCTAACTGCTTAATGCTATTATAAAATTTTAAGTCGTGGAACATGGCAAATCGTAGATGCGCTCGCCCTCGAAAATCGGAGGACGCAGGATCCACAACCTTTGCGGTCGGGCTACTGAGCCCTTGTGACGGAGCCCTTGTTGTCGCAAAACGTCACGTCACAGTATTAAATATTATACAGGGTGTCCGATAATAACCGGATAATATCTCGTGGGCTGGTAGAGCAGCTTAAACTGAACAAAAAAGTCCTCTACCATTTTGCAAAATTCGCAATCGTTAACAAGATATTAATTTTTGAAGATTGGCGAATAAACGCGTATCCGTTCGGCCCACCGCTGAATACCAGCGGTGGGACGGCCATATCTCGCCGCGTTGCTAAGCGTGTGGGGATAGAGTCTATTCCCACATGCCTAGCAGCGCGGCGAGATACGACTGGCACGACCGCTGGTATTCAGCGGTGGACCGGACAGATACGCGCTTATTTGTCAATCTTCAAAAATTAATATCTTGTTAACGATTGCGAATTTTGCAAAATGGTAGAGGACTTTTCGATCCAGTTTAATCTGCTCTACCAACCCACGAGATATTATCCGGTTATTACCGGACACCCTGTATATAGATATAATGTTTTTATCTATATATTATCTATATATTATATGCGTATTATATTTTTAATAGTAACATTGATTTATTGTAGTCATGGAGAGATTGGCGAATAGACACTAAAGCCAAGGCAGCAAAAATCAAAAATTATCAACGTGGTACAGGAGGAGGGGGTCCCCCTCCAGCTCCTCTTCTGGAAATAGAAGAAAGATTGATATCATTGATGGGTATTGAATCAATAGAGGGCCATACAAGTGTAATAGATCCAGCAGAGGTAGGTATTATTGTTTAAACATATTTATTAACAGATTATTTACATATTTTTACATTACATTATACTTATTTTTTTGTATTTTTATCATATTTATTTTCTTTCACTTTTTTGCATAGCCACAAAGTTCAAGACAATGTGATGTTTTAAACGAAGTAGTATTTTCATTTCAATCTCAATTTCCATCCTCGTCTTTATCAAATATGAATAACATAGATCCTGCAGAAGTAAGTACTATCGAATTTTGACTTATAAATTATTCGTAAATATAATTTTTTATTTTCTGTAACATAATTTGTTATGATTCTTATTTATTATTGTTTACTTCCATTTTTTATAGCTACAAGAGATAAGACAATCTGTATTATGTGAAGCTAACATGTTTTCATGTCAATCTTCATGTCAGTTTCCATCCACGTCTAAATTAAATACGCCTCGTATTACAAATATACAAATTATAAGCAATCCTGTGCAAGTAAGTATTAATAAATTTTAACACTTATTAATAAATTATTCATACGTGTTATGTAACTTTTATGTTTTTTTTGTAATGTAACATAATGTTATTTTTATTGATTACTTCTAAATTTTTCTAAATACATTTTATTTACTTTTATGTTTACATACTTATTTACACATATAAATTAATGTTTTATTTATGTTACAGCATCCATCACTTGAAGATAATTCATCTCTTCAATCTCTTCCAATATTTTCATCGAGCTCTCATACGAAGGTATATCCACAATCAATTTCTCTCCTTTCACAAGGAACTACTGCTTCAGGCTCTCAGTCAACCCCTTCGTCTTCTACTGATCAACATACAAATACTTCGTTGCCTACTTCTATTGAATCTTCTAAGGCAACAGCTAAGAAACGCCAAAAAAGACAAGAATCCACAGAAATCCAAAGTAAGTATAAGTATATAAAAATTTAAATATATCAAATAGTGGAGCATTAGTAATAATAAAACTGTTATAGTCAAGTTAGGTTAAATAACAGTAATAATTACTTAACTATAATACTGCAGTATTGTTATATTTAGGACCATCTGAAACATGAGCTTTTTTATTTACACATTGAACTTTTTTTTTTTACATATAGATGTACAAATTTTCAAAAAAATGCAGGCGCAGACGATTGAATTGCAGGCGCAGACGACTGAAATGCAGGCGCAGACGACTGCACTTCAAAAAATTGCAGATGCCATTCAGCATTATATAGATACAACTGTGGTATGTACAATGATTATAGTATTAACATTACAGTAGTAATAGCAATATTGTAGTTATTTATCTTCAGGATATTGGTATTCGCATCGCTCTGCACTATGACGAGTACAGATATTGCGATATCAATTGCTGCATTCGACAACAATACGGTACAATCGCGCCCGATTACGAAACAATGCGGCACATTTCTGATTTGTGTCGCACAATGACAAAGGGACAAGAAAAAAGGGGAAGAAAGGTAAAGATGAGTGATAACGATTTTTTTTTGGTATTTTTTTCAATACATTTTTTAATAAAACTAAAGAAAGTTTTTTAGTACATAAGTAGTTATTAGATAGTTATATAAGTGATTTCTTAATATCATTGGTATGATTGCTGTTAGCTGAAAGCCAAAGCAATATTATACATCTAAAGTCAAATCGTAAATTGCTTATTATCCTGTACGCGATGATTATTTACAGTTATGTCGATCTCATAAATTCTGTTTAATTTATTTGTGCCGTTTGTGTCATATATGATAATTATCATTAGTCGAAGAGTGATCTATTGAAGCGATGTAAAGGCCATATTGTGTTTCGCCTACTTTCGTGCACGCGATGATTGCATAAGAGTTTATATGTCTTATAGGCCAAAATGATATTAAGATATGATTTATACCAAAGTAGATATTAATAATACTTGTATTTAAAATATTGTAGATAATGATAGTACTGGTATTTAAGATATTGTAGATTTCAATAGTACTTGTATTTAAAATATTGTAGATAATGATAGTACTGGTATTTAAGATATTGTAGATTTCAATAGTACTTGTTTTTAAAATATTGTAGATATAGTATAAGATAGTGATAGTATTTGTATTTAAGATATTATAGATATTAATAGTACTTGTATTTAAGATATTGTAGATATTAATAGTACTTGTATTTAAAATATTGTAGATATTGTACATATTGATAGTATTTGTATTTAATATGTTGTAAATATTAATAGTACTTGTATTTAAATAGGTCTTTGCATCGCGTTTTAAAATTGTCATTCAAAAGGTACTGAGAAAAATAAACATGATTATATTTTCTCAACTTATTTATTAATTAACTAACTTCTGCGATTACCAATATGCACAAGTATTAAGACGATGATAATTTCAAGAAAAACGGACATTTCGCGCAATTTAATTATTTAAATTAAATCTGTAGAGAAAAAGCTAGAAATAGAGAAAAAAGGATTACGAATAATTGTTTTATTGCCATGTTTACGAGCAATTGTAATTGTTTCGAATATAGCCAGCAATGCGCTTCAATATTCTTGCTGAATCTAACATATAATTTATTTGTTTTCTCGAAAGCGCGAAATGTGATGAATCGCCAAGTTATGGAAAGTTATATCGAATATGAGTAATTTTTATTCAATCATCCAATATGCAAACGAGCAGCAAGTCGATCGCGTGTACGTTGTCCTTCATTAAAGATGGCTCTACCTTCTGGTATAGGCTGTATTTCAATATCATTAATATTGTCTTCTAAAGCCATAATAGCTTCTTCAGGTTCTGGTGGATCAGGTAAGTTAGCATGTATGCACATATTGTGTAACACTGCACACGCGTTAATAATTTGGCCTGCTTTTTCTGGCGCGTATTCTAATGTGCGATATCGAAGAAGGCATCTAAATCGTTTTTTTAAAACGCCTATGCAGCGCTCCACAGTATTTCGCACACTACTGTGGCGTTCATTGAAATGTTCTTCTCGCGTGTCGGGCTGTGTTTCTGGAAATGGTGTTAGCAACCATGGCTCCAATGGATATCCAGAGTCACCTTGAACATATATATAATATAGAGAAAAAACATAATTATAAATATAAATAAATATATATTTTTTTCTATATTATTCAAATAATCTAAAAAAAGAATGTATTATTTAAATTAATGAAATGGTTACCGAATAGCCAACAATGATTGCCATTCTCATACTGCATTCGGATCAAATGCCGTATAAAACAATTTCTCCAAACGAAAGAATCGTGTGTGGCCCCTGGATATCTTGCCAATATATTTATAATTTCTAAATTTGTATCGCATATCTATAAAAATAGTTTGTATCACGTTAATTCATGTTGAAATTATTAATATTGTCAATTACAGTAGAGAAATGTAATAGTTAGTTTGAAATTGTACTTACAATTTGCACATGCTGTGTATGGTAACCTTTTCTATTTACATACAATCCTTCGTGTATATTAGGAACTCTTATAGCTACGTTTGTTCCATCTACGAATTCTATTAATCCCGGAATTCTAGTTTTATTGTAATTTCTGAAATAAAAAAACAATACATTCGTTAAATTTTTCTTGATTTTTATAGGTACAAAATAACAACGAAGAAGAAATTATGTTTGAGGAACACCTTGAAGATTGAGGTATGAATTTGAAAGTTTTAGCATTGTTTATGTATTGTAATGTACAAATAAAATGAGATATTTCAGAACATATAATTATTAATATATACATTTGTACAATCTCCTGTATTTCCTCTGGAGTTGTTGGAAAATGTATCCATTGCCTTAACAAATGTTGATTGATAGCA